AGATTCAATTATATATATAAGCAAGTATATTCCATTTTGCAGAAGGTCATGCATACAAGAAAGAGGCATATGGAATTGTTTCAAGAGTTAAATCAGAAATTTCAGACTCTGGACAGATTTCGGGATGTACCAAAATCAGGCAGTATGGTAAGTGTCCTTCTATTATATTTAAAATATGGTGGATCCAAAACAACAGTGAAACAAAAGCCTTTTGACTCCAGTACATTTCCCAAGAATACCTCACCTTTAGGTACCTCAGAAATGAGAACCAAAGCTATTTTCAGTAATCCAACCTATGACAAGACTCATTGGATTCTACAGTTAGACCATAAGTAACTCACTAACATCATTATAGATGACAAGTAATTGAACTGTAGGGAATGCACTTCAAATCTGCATGTGCCTTCTGTGTCTAAGGGCCTTTATACTGAGAAAGCAGCTCATGATATAATTTGACCAATAAGGCTTTCCCTCTAGCTAGGCAAGGAGATAATAAATTTGGTTCTACAAACAAGTCCAGATGGATTTACCTGTATGTGCAATCATCCAGAAAACACACAAGATCTCTGTAATGCCATGTTTTTTCCAAAATAGATTTATAAATATTTACAACGGGAAAAACAATAATTAAATAATCCTGAGTTGAAGCTGCTATCATCATAATTCAAATTTATACACACGCACACTCATGCACACATGCACTACACTCTGACTACACCTGATAATGAGAGCAAGGAAATAGTTGATTCTACCTAATCAAAACAGCTAATTTAGTCTGACATATTTTTATCAGTAATATTTTGATTAGTAATAATTTTATATAATTTTATAATGTGAAACTTGTATATAAAATGGAACTGAGCTAGAATCATTGTATTCTATAATTTTTTCAGAAGAGCTGCTTTCAGACATGAAGAAGAGGTATTAAGCAGATGTGAGGCCAATGGATTTACATCTTTTACATCATCTTAATCCAGCATAAATTTAGCCCTGATTCTTTGATGAACCTTTCTCTGTGATATGTGCTATTTTGTATCAAGTTCTCATTCTCCCTTTTGAGATCAGCTGACATGTAACATTTTCATTTGTCTCCCTACTTGAGATTTGCTATTCACATAAAGCTTGAATTAATTCAAAATCTCAAAGGGAATCTCAGTAGAAGAGTTGTGTTTATTGTGTTTCACATTGGTGCTGTGCTTTTGTAAGGTCTGCTACTAAAAGCTGCCTAGAGGAATGATCTGTTTGTGAGACAGTCAGAGAATGATCCAGGTACCTAAATATAGGCATCTCAGGCTATTTTAGGCAGAGGTCTTGGTTTACAGCACAATACAGGCAGCAGTGATACAGGGCTCAAAGGAGATCTGCACCTCTCGTGAAAGATAGTTGGAGATCAAGAAGAAAGTCCAAAGGCATCTTAGACGGTGCAAAAATACTGGATTTTAGCAACTAAAACCCACCTGTCATGTTACAGCAGAAATCTCTAATTAAATTGGTCCATAAAGTCTTTTACCTTATAAAACATAGCATTAAAAAAATAAAAATCATTCAGTAGAAAATAACCACCTTTCAGTCTGTTAATCCTAATATAGGTGAGCTCATCAACCTAGGCAAGGTGGCTCTCACAGCATTATCAAGGTTTCTGTCATCTTCCATGCACCTGCCACAATTTAAAATCCAGCTGGCAGTCTCTGTTTCAAACCACTCCATATTTCAAGCAACAAACTATTCTCTGTTACTTTCCTTTTTCTTCTCCCTCTTTTCTCCCACTATTAGAAAGATGTCTGTTGGTACTGGATCTCTCAGCCCATTCCTCACACATTGGTTCTTGTGAAAGAAAGGGCTTAGCTGGCAGCTCAGGTGAGGAGCCTGCCAAAATGTTGATTGTTCACAGAGAAAGCATCGCAGCAGTGCCGAGCACCCGCCAGCCTGGCTCCCTGCAAACCCATTCCCCTTTCCAGCTTCTGTGTCTCATGAGAGCACGTCAGCAAACAGCCTTATAAATGGAAACTGCATTATTTCATCCTTGATTTTAATTCTTCTTTCTTTGGTCTTCAGGAGAACTCAGGACCCAGCAAGGCTCCATGGGACAGTTTCAAAACCACAGGTGACTACCAACACTATACAACAATAAATGTATTAGACACAGAGGCAAAAGATGCTTTAGAACTCAGACCAGCAGAATGGGAGAAGTGTCTGAACTTGCCTTTAGATGTGCAAGAAGGTGACTTTCAAACAGAAGTTTAACAGAAACGAACTGAACAAAACAGAAACAAAGTAAAAATAATTAATAGCACTGACAATAAAAAGACTTTGGGAATCCTGACGATCCTGACACTCCTGTCTGAACATTGCAACTACTTTTGTCAGGCTCTTCCTGTGCCAAATGTCAGTGGTTTTTTTCGTACAGTATATTCCCACTAGTGCAGCTAGTGGAGAACCAGGTGTACAATTCTTACCATCGTGTGTTGTAAGTACCCGTGGAATGGATTTGTAAGGTAATCTTTATAGATAAACCTCAAGCAACGATTCATGTTGTAACAGCTTCATTTGGTTTAGTTTTCAAAAAACTTCACCATGAAGCACAATGTATATATTTATGCAGTTTTTAAAGTTTATAACAGTCTGTTTGGCCATAACTACACTTTTTACTTTATAATATAAAAGCAAAGTTTTTGTCATTAAATGAATGTCTGTTGAGCTACATTCTTCATTGCTTTAAATGCAATAAAGTAATAATCTCACTTTTATATGAATAATATATTTCACATCTTTATTATTGCAGTTTTCTCTGGAAAGCTCAGAATAGCTTTCTCTGCTGCAGCTGTGTATAAAATATTTAAAATGTTGTATGGTGTAAATAAACCTTTGTCTACATATCAGTTTCCTAGTGCATTTTATTCTATATTGTTTCTCCTAAATTTGAATATTTATACAATTTTCTATAAAACACAAGTATTGAATATGTATTTGCAGTTTTAATAGCATGTTGTATGTAGCTTCTGCAAAAAGTTCATATTAGTAGGCTTCTAGCCATTCTGCATTTTCTTAGGTTTTTTTTCCTGACAATGTACAATATAAATTGGACTTGTCAGAATACTATTACAATTTTTCTGTCCTATAAGGATTTTTGTCTATTTTTAGAAAGACAGATAATGGAAAATAAGTTAAGTTTCAATGCACAGCACCCAAAGAAAACACTGACTTGAAATCATTATATCTTGTGCATGGTGTTCTTGCTGCATAACACAAAATAATCTCAAGATAAAAAAGTTCCTAAGCATTTTAGTTTTTTAAAATACCACCAAAACAATTAACCAAACCCAAGAAAACTGAGTCAGTTTCATCATGAATCACAAGTAGAATATGATTGTTCTTTGTATTGAAAATACAGTTAAACTTTTAGGAATAGGAATCTCCTATTCCATGCATAGAATCAAAACCAAATCTTCAAAAATCTCATCTACAGCATAGCTGTGGGGGACATAGTTGGAAGGATATCTCAAATCTTCTGATGTCATAGTTCTAGGAAAAAGTTTCAAAAACTATTTTGGTTCCTGCTGTATAAAAGTGAATATCCTGCAGCCTACTAGCTGGAGGGATCTTAGAGAGGAAGAAAACATGACCACCAATCTGCTTAGGAAGAAAAAAGATAAGAATAGAGGCTTGTCAGTGAGAACTTAACCCAGAGAATTGGAAGAGGAAGATCAGCATCCATCTGTTAAGAGAAAAGTACTTAGGATCAACCTTGGGACCAATCTTCAGAAAGTGTTTCAGTTTGGCAATCTTTTCTCCAGGCCATAAGGTATTTAAGTCACAAAAAGGAGCCTGTCTTTGCCTGCTTTGAGTGAGCACCTCATGCTGAGTGAAAACTTCTGTAATCTCATGCCTCAGGGACTATATCTTTAAACAAGTAAGAAATAACTAGCCACCAGCCTGGTACCAGGTCCAGTAACTGGCTTAGGTGCCTGGAGGTTAGATTATGTACTACTATCACCCTGCATAAGTTTGCCAACAACTTACTTAAATTGGGCAGGAGTGTTGCTTTGCTGGAGGGCAGGAAGGCTCTGCAGAGGGATGTGGACAGGCTGGATCCATGGGCAGAGGCCAATGCTGTGAGGTTCAACAAAGCCAAGTGCCAAGTCCTGCACTTGGGTCACAACAATGCCCTGCAATCCTACAGGCTGGGGGCAAAGTGGCCAAAAAGCAACCCAGGAAAAAGGACCTGGGGGTGCTGGTTGACAGCAACGGAACATGAGCCAGCTGTGCCCAGGTGGCCAAGAAGGCCAATGGCATCCTGGCCCAAATCAGCAATGGTGTGGCCAGCAGGACCAGGGCTGTGATTCTTCCCAGCACTGGTGAGGCTGTACCTTGAGTGCTGTGTCCAGTTCTCTGCCCCTCAATTCAGGAAGGATGTTGAGATGCTGGATCATGTCCAGAGAGGGGCAACAAGGCTGGTGAAGGGTCTACAGAGTAAGTCCTGTGATGGGGCATCTGAGGGAGCTGGGGTTGTTTAGCCTGGAGAAAATGAGGCTCAAGGGAGATTTTATCCCTCTCTACAGCTCCCTGACAGGAGGCTGTAGCCAGGTGGGGATCAGTCTCTTCTCCCAGGCAACCAGTGACAGGATGCGGAAGTGGACTTGACGCCCTTGCATCACGGGAGGTTTAGGTTGGACATCAAGAAGAATTTCTTCACAAAAAGGGTGGTTAGGTATTGGACTGACCTGCCCATGGATGTAGTGGAGTCTCCATCTCTGGAGGTGTTCAAGGAGCAACTAGATTTGTCACTTAGTGCTGTGGTTTAGTTGACAAGGTAGTGTTCAGTCAAGGTTGGACTTGATGATCTTGGAGGTCTTTTCCAACCTTAATGTTTCTGTGATTCTATCATTCTACACTGTGATACATCAGTCAAACAGAACTGGCTGTTTTTCAAGAGGCTGATGCAGAAGGAGGCAGATGGTAAGGCTGGCTATGCAGCCTCCTAACTTTTCAGATCAGATAGTGCACCAAAAACCTCTCACTACATACAACAGAAACTGCACATTTCTGAAGGATTTCATTCCACATGGTAAGAAGTCTCAGGGTATGTGTTACAAAATTTATAATTTTTGAGCCCAAATGAGGAAGCTTAGACCCCTGAATCCAGATATAAGCCTTAGCATCCTCCTTGACTGATCTAAACATAATACAAATCTTGAACACCTTGGTATTTCAATAACTGTAATGCAGAAATTATTTGTATAAGCTTTATATGACCTAACTCATGTTCAATGGTGGTCTAGTTACAACTGTAGAACGCTTAGGGTAGGCTGCAAACTTACCCAGGAAACATGGTAAATCAGTTTACACTCAATAGGCTGCTGACCCAGTTGCACTGTTATTAATAACCCAGTGGATTCAGGTTTAGCATTAGCCTGGGTGTTTGTGTATCACACAGCAGTCACAGATGTGCTTTCAGATGTGCAACATTCAGTGCCTCTTTATTTAGAGTTTGTGCTCCTCTGAGCAGAAAATGCTAGGCATTTTTATTTTCTTATATATTTCATATTTAGAAATTAAAAGTATGCTGAAACCCAGTATATTTGTCTACTGATCTGACTGCTTCCTCTTAACAGAGTTTGTTTTCCATAAGCAAGATGCCACTCATACTTGCAGTTTCTGCTCAATGTCTCTGAAGTGATGCATGTCAGACTGAGCCCAGCAGGAGAGTACAAACTTTTATGCACTGGCTTTAATGTTGATAAAGCACTGAGCAGATGTTTGGCATTTTGTTATATGCAAACAAGAATTAAGTCAGGACTCCCTAAATCATACTAGACACAGACATGACAGGGGGCCCTGCATCTGCTTACCAGTTAGTGCCACTCAGCATGGCCTGGCTGGGGTCCAGCTGCAGCTACAGAAAGGTTCAGGTGTTTGAAGGTGGTTCAGGTGCTTGAGGGCTCAGCCAATGTTCCTGTCACTAGCACTGGAGGAGACTGAGGCAGCTGAGCTCAGCCCAGAGTTTACCCAGAAGCAACTCAAAATATATATTCCCTAGATGTATATACAAGAGGCAAAAATCTTTTTTATTGAAGGCTTCGTTTTCTCAACAGTTTAAATACACATTAACAGTTGTATAAAACCCTATTCAGTTCATTTGTCTCCTTCTTGATGCGTATTCAGGGAAAGACTTTTTTTCTGGCAAGTTAATGCTAAACAAAATATGGCCTGGATTTTTCAGTGTAGGGAAGCCATGCATACAGGAAATCTAGCTGAGCAGCCAAAGATCACTCAGACAAGAGTTCAAGATGTCCAAGATTTCAAGGCTGTGTAAAGGGGTTTTGTGATCATACCAAAATAATTTGCAACACGGGCCTTTGCCAAAGTGACATTATTTAACCCAGAAACTTGGAGATAAACTATGAATTAGTCACTATTAAACTCTAGAAACTCTAGAACTCTCTTCAGCTCTAGAATATCTCTTGGAGATAAGAAGGGAGGAGAGTATAAGTAACGCTACAAGGGGTGAGAGTGCTGCCATTCTGATGCACCTTTGGAGTACCAGTGGTTTAATGTTGGCATATACGTAATGCTAATGACTGTGTGTAATGTAGATTTAGGACAAAAGACACAAAAAGCTAGAGATCTTTTCCATTTAATTAACTACTGAGTCTGAGTTCTTCTCAAGCAATGTATCAGTGCTCTTGGAAGTGTTGTCCTGACACTCATCTAATATTGTTTTACACAGGATTAAACTGGGATAATTTATTTTAAAAACAAACAAAACTAAACAATGAAGCAAAAAACATCCAAGCCCCAAGATGCATCAGGAGAAATGCTCTCTGATGCTTTGGCTTGTCTCTGTTTCCCGTAGTTGGCAGACCAGGTTTAACAAAAGGCCTGCTTCCCACTTGGAAGCATCCATCACAGCATCAGGTATGCTTTCCATTGGGCTATAGGAGGGGATCTAGAAATCTGTTGGCAATCAGCAGATGGAGACATGCACTGATAGCAGACTCTCAGTTCCTCAGGTGTTAGCTCAAGGCTGTGCTGCATCTCTGGATAAGGCACCAGAAGCATTTTGTAGGAGCAAACTTTATTTCCCTCTCTCAAAAAAGTGTCATAGAGCTCACCTGTGCAATCTTCTCATGTGCTGAAGGAGGAATCCAGAGAGATACCCAGTTGAATATGTGCTTGGGGAGCTGTGATTCATTTCTAGCTGGGTCTCAAACAGTGCAATGCTGTAGTCTTTTCTACTTATATTTTTAGAAACATCTTTTTTGTAAGGAAAGCATAAGTGGTCTCACTAAGAGAAATTCAATTACTGATAAGATAGGCATGAATACCAACACTAGCACTCCCACTGAAGTGTTTTGTCCATTAATTACAATTGTAAGATAAAGTAAGAGCCACTTATCTGGTTTTGACAAAATTGCCTCTTAAACTGCATTGGACCATCCTGTGGCACTGAGTTACTCCAATTAACTATACTACAGGACTTATCCTCTTGTTCTTCTCTGGTGTAATTTTATACCTCATTACTTCTTATGAGAAACAGTTAATAATGAACCAATTCAACTTCCTCCCTCAACTATATAAGTTACTGCTATTGGCCCCACACATGCCTCTTTTTTCAGGATTACAAACCCATGCTCAGTTAGTTCCCATGTAGAAATACAAGTCTGCTAAAGTTCTTAAATGAGTTCAGTAAATCCATAACTCATTAGAGTATTCTGTTTGTTTCATGTAGAAAAAGGAAAAACTCTATGAGGAAGCTTCTAAAATTCCTTTTTATTCAGTGGGAAACACAAAACCTTAGAAATATATAAACATTCATTTTTGTTATCTAACCATTTAATAGAAAAGATATCACCATCTCTTTGAGCAAGAAATAAGCACCAGCAGCTTCTCTTAATTCTCTTCATGAGTACACTGATTTTTTTTTTTTTTTTTTTTTCTGCTGCTCCTTCTCCCTGGTGATGTGAAGACTGACTTTCTTTCCTAAGTTACACAGTTGCACCAAAACTGACAGAGAGATCTCTCCACTGACTAGGTGACAGTCCAAAAGGGAGCAAGGGCTATGTGAATCCTTTCAGATGGAGTAGTAGCTGTTTCCCACAGCCTGGAAGTGTGCTGAATTCTCAATTTTTATTTCCATTTTGGTGAACCTCCTTCCTCTAGCTGTGTGTTGAGGGGGATGCCCATCACTTCCTGACTCTCTTTTTGAAAACATAGAATGGGCATCTAAGACTAAGGGCTTGGGATCCGCTGCTCATGTCTGCTCATCCCTGTGACTTAAGGTCCTCAATAGAGGTGAGACTAGATGGCTCTAGTCTCAATGTTTGTTTTCTTGTTGATTATCTTGTGCAGCTGTTGGGAAGCTCAGCTGGAGATGTTTACTTTGTATACCTTGTATAAGCAGATAATGTGCCTTGTTCAACATATGGAGGCAAGCATAGGAAACAGGCATCTAAATCTTACGACCATCAAAAAATCCCAGTTCTTTTGTGGATCAAATCCTTAAGAATTGAAATACTTTAAAAATCTGGTTCTCAGAATCCAGTTTTAAGAACAGCAAAAACTATTCCTTTTACCAGTTGAATGATTTATTGAATCATGTCCCTAAATTATTGATTTAGGAAATTGCAAAAGATGATTCCTGAAGGACCTCATAGTATTAAAAAAAGAAAAAAAAAAAAAAACAAAACAAAACCGGAATTGATTAGTATGTATGTATGTAGATGTTCAATTTCTTATTTGGTGTCTCCTTGGACCTAACCATTTATTCCATGTTCTTCTCAAGGAATATGTATTAGGAAAAGATTTTCAGAGCTCTTTTTAGTAATTAGGTTCCTAAATCAAGCAGGAATTATCTGTGGTTTGTAAAGACAGATAGGCAAAATCCTTTCTATCTAATTTAGAATTCTAACCAAAACATTGTCCTGACAAAATTTCAAACACAGAACTCTGCAGGGCAATCTCACTCTGCCTATTGTAGCTATCCAGGTCATTTTTGCAACCTACAGAAAAAGGGAAGCACCTCTGAACCCCAGCTAGACTCAGCCAGTTCTCTAAGTACAGATTGATTGCACAAAGAATTTAAAAGCCTCATGAGGGCAATAAAATTCTTCTAAATTAAGCACCAGATTTAGTAGGATTTAGACATCAACTTGTGAGCTAAAGTCTAAACTCCCATTATAATCACTGAAGAACAGGTCAATACAGTCAATGGAGTCTAAAAGCCAATCCAGCTTTCCCTTTACTAAAAGAAGGATGCAGTTAATGTGAGATGGCCCATATTTTGTGAAACATTTACATGGGGACTGCACACTGACACGAAAACTTCACCCCACATCTAAAATGATACTAGTTTTAACATGGGAATCCCACTACAGGGGAAGATTTTCTCAGATGCTCCAGGATATCCTGCTTCCAGCTATTAATTCAGGGAGGTTTGGGATTATGGGTACCATGTCAGATCTCCCAACTTCCTATAAATGTCAGAGCTACCCTCACTATCACACAGTGCCACTATTTAATCAGAATCTACCTTGCCTGCCCCTCTTCTGAACATTTGTGTCAGTTCAAATAGAGGATTCAATTTCTCTATAATTTTATTTTTACACCTCTAAATCCTGTATGTGGATTATCCAGATTCTCATCCTCCTGAGAGGGAAAGGACCACAGCCCAGGACAACTTAAACTGCCAAGTATCAGTAGACTGTAAAAAAGCACATTCTGGAAGATTAAACATGGGTCAAGCAGGCATGACAGAGTTATGGAGCCAGGAAAATTACAGTGTTATGCTTTGAGCTGATGCTAGATATCAGCCCCAAATGGTGTGCTAGAATATGAATACTTGCCTGGTGCTGCAATCTTGATTTTTCACTCCATTAGAATCTCCTAACAATTGGGCAACAGTCAAGCTACCTTTCTTTGGGCTCTAGCCCCCTGATGCTCTTATTTCTGCTTACACAGAGGCCAGACTTGAGATGACAAGTGTGTTTAACAGGGGTCCTGTGATGCCTTCCTGAAACTCAGAAGGTGGTGGTTCAAACCTTTCTCAGATGAGTAGGCTGGAGAAGCTTTCCAGCTTCCTCATACTGTCTTCTGACCAGTAAATAATTATGCAAAGAAGGAAACACAATCCCCACCTCAGAGCAGATAAAGCCCCTAGCAGTTAGTGGGTAGACTCAGGCCATGACATCTGAGAAAAAATTACACACTATAATTGACAGAAAAACATAAGGATGATTTCTCAGTGGCTCCCTTAACCAATTAGTTTAAAACCAACCAGTTCTCAAGGGAGATTACACAGAAGTAGAAAGGAAAATCTCTTACACCATAAAAATACCTCTAATTACTATTGCATGAGAAAGGAGGGAATAGTGTTTTGTATTTCAGTCCAAACCTAATCTGTGCCACAAATGGTGACTTTCAGGTTTATATGGAAAATATATTTTTAAAAATTCATTATCTCTCAACTAAGAAAATAAGAGAATATTATAAACTTTTAAAACATGCTTAATTCTTGGTCTGAAATAACTGCACATAATTTCATCATACGTAATTTCAAAAAAAAAAAAAAATTTCCAAATCATCTTTCTCAGCACCATGTTATAGCATGATGGCTATCTTTTGGGGGCTGTGCTGGTTTTGGCTGGGGTAGTTAACTTTCCTCACAGTGACTGGCATGAGGCTGTGTTTTAGATTTGTGCTGAACACAGGGTTGATTAATTATAGAGATGTTTTTTGTTATTGCTGAGCAGAGACAGAGCCAAGGCCTTTTCTGCTTTTCATACTGCCAGGCTGGCGAGAAAGTTGGGGCTGCATGGGGGGTTGGGAGGGGACACAGCCCAGACAGGTGACCTAAACTGACCTAAGGGATATTCCAGACCCTGTGGCATCATGCACAGTGTATACAGTGGGTGGGAGAAGGAGGAAGGTTGGAGCGAGGACGTTTGTTTTCCCAAGTCACTGTTACTTGTGATGCAGCCCTGCTCTCCTGGAGATGGCTGAACACCTGCCTGCCCTTGGGAAGCAGTGAATTCATTCCTGATTTTACTTCCCTCATGTGCATGGCTTTTGCTTTCCCTCTTAAATTGTCTTTATCTCAACCAATGATCTCTCCTGGATCCTACTGGTGGAGGAGTGAGTGTGCAGTGCTTGGCAGCTGGCTGGTGTTAAACTACAACAGGGACAATTATCCAGGCAATTAAAAGGTATTACAACATGTAAATATATTCAAAGTGAAAAGATACTAACTTTGACCTGAATTTTTTTTTTTAAAGCTCATCACAAAGACATGTATTAAATTAAAAGAAGATTTTAAGTAATTATTTTTATTTACTTTCCAATAGTCACTTAGTATCCTATGTTCCTCTAAAACTGTGATGGCAGTAAAGAAATTGATTAATTTGGGTAAGGGAAAGAAAGATCATTCTTTTTGCAGTAATTAATATTTGCATAGCAGGAGGTCCCCTATTTTAATAAAGAGCCCTCTTAGAGGATGACAGCCTTCCAAGTATGCATCAGAACTTCTTAAGAACTTAATGCAAAAAGTCTCCAAAAGTTAGGAAAAAAACATGATTATTCATCTTGTTTGGAATGAGTTCCCAAGACAGGATCCAGGTTTTGCATCTAAATAGGAGGTTGAAACCTCTGTTAGACAACCATTTCTTCCATTTTCAGTACACCTAAAATCCCAAAGCACTGGAGAACTTTGGAAACCTCTGAAGATCTGAAGACACCACAGAGTTTACAATAAGTATGGAAATCAATAGCACATTTTGTATGGATTATTATCTGGTAAGTACTTGGCTACAAAACCCTGGGTTCTCAGGTCATTTTGAAATTTTGTGTTCAGAACATTTTCCTCCTCTCTTGACCAGCTCTATGGCATTGTATTAGCAAGCAAATACATAAGCAGATAACCTTTTGGAGAGGGGTAATTTTCTAAATCTAGTGCTTAGAGATTTTTTTTCTCAAGATATGTAATCTGATTTTGAATAATTTGTAATTGTAAAAGGCATCAACCAAAGGTTTCTTAGTGAAGAAAAATAAAAAAAAAAAAAGCCCAGGATGCTGATGTACATCTCTTCTGCACAGTGCTTTTGGCCCATCCCTCCAATTTTTCTGCATGGCAGCCCTGCTTGGACATACCAACTACTTGCCATATGTCTGCCAACCTGGTAAGAATGCATTACCTTGCACCTTTGACAAATTGGACAGGTCTCAAAAGAGACCCCTGCAGTGCTGCATTTACAATCTGCCTCTAAACCCACAAACTCTCTGAGTTCAACAATTTTTTTACCCACCTGGTTTCCCATCCATTTACTGCCATCCTCTGGCATTTTAACTTGGGTAGAATTATAGAATCATAGAATGTCCTGGTCTGGAAGGGACCATAAGATCATCAAGTTCCAACACCCCTTCCTTGGGCAGGGTTGCCTTCCACTAGACCAGATTGCTCAAATCTAATCACTACCAAAACAATCAGCTCCTACAGCTGTCACATCTTCAAACCATTTCACTTCTGCAAGGATGGATCTCCTGAGATAATATTTGGAATTTAACAGACTGCAGCTCACACATTGCTTGAAGACCCACTGAACATGTAAAAATACTGAACAAGTGAGATTATTTGAGGAAACCTGTCTAATTGCAAGTATGTATTTCACATAATTTAATAGTTGTTGCCATACCAGCTGTTCAATCAGGAAATGCTTGTCAGCTTTGAGTCCACATTCAACTTTATCATACAGACTAAAGACAACAGGATGTATTTATCTCACTTTAATCACTATGTTTTGTCTACTTGTGACCTGTACCGTGACTTAGATATCAATCCTAGTATTTTATAGGGTAAATATTGGTACAATTATAACTTTTATTAAATTTCCAGATTTTCCCCCAAATAGATGATTGGGTTTAATATTGTTAACACCACTGACTAAGAAAGATATATTTTTTATATTTTTGAAAGTGAATACTAATAAATTTTACATTCTTCCAAAATATCTATTTCAAAATATGCTAACCACGTATTAAAAGATAATGATAAAAAACTGTATGAATAATATTTCAGTATGATAATATATTAATTTTCAAATATGAGTAATGAATATTTTTTAATCTTATTTTTACACAATAATCGTGTTTTGTTATTAGAAGTTAGATTGCTGTGGGAAATGCCAAGGCTGGGCAAGGAAAGTTTTTGCTTGGGGTCCCCAGAGCTTATTCCAGGATGGAGAAGGTGTGCACTTCAGATGATGCTCTGTCCACCACTCCCATCAAAACCTGTGTAGGTCTAGGCACAGGAACAAGCCAGCTGCTCAGCCATCCTTTCCCTTGTCTGACAGCAGAGGACAGCACACAGTGTGTTTTTGTATCCCAGCAGGTTGCCAGGCCCAGGCAGTGAAGAAAGGCCAAGGCAGAAGCTATGTCACACAGAAGAGATGGCCCAGCAGCAACAAACCTGTCAGTCACCAGGACGTTGCTTGTTCATTTTTCCAGAAACAGACTCTTTCTCCCAGCTCCTGAGAAGCTGTACACTGCCACCCTCTCATACTGAAACTTCACTAGGAATACAGCCAGATGTGTGCCCAGGAGGTGCTTGTCAACATGTCCTTCTCCACCTGTGCTGAAGTTCTTTCATCACCAGATCGAAATTCCTGCCCTTAGTGTGGCCTAAATCCATGTCCTTCTGCTGGCCCATGTAGAAATGAGGCAATTAGCAGCACTAAGATGTGAGAAGAGAAAAAATCCCAGTACCAACATATCCTACCATTGTGCATCCCATTCTTCTGACCCTGAGGGGAGGTGACTGGATACCCTTGCTGCACTCCAGCATGAAGATCCTGTTAGTGCTAGTCTTACTACAAAGCACGAGAGAAGTGAAGTCTCTAATCTCCACTCATCTCTCAGGCCTAAAACTGCTGAAGGGTTCACATTACCCTCTGCCTGGCAACATTTGGGATGTGCAGCACACATCTGGGATGTGCAGCAGCAAATTGATGGTTGTACCTCTGCCACTGACCTTCCTGCCAAATCTTCTTGACAGCAGTACTGATTGTCTAGATGTAAGAAGGATGGGAAAACAAAGTGAACTGTCTTTGCCATTTAGTGAAAAAAAGGAGTCAAATATCCCATCCTTCTTTTTAAAGAATTAAGAATGATGGAATCACTAAGAGCTTTGTTGTGGACTCTTACTTGCTGGCCTGCTGCCTGAAGAAAAGTATTGAAAAGATTAAGGGATCTACAAGAGAAAAAGGAGAGTCTAAAATAGATTGAGGACTTAAGTAAGTCTGTTTAAATGGCTTTTTTATCTCAAGAGCCTCTCTAAAAAATCTTTAGCAACTCAGGCCATCAAAGAAATTTCACAATGATCAGAAATTAAATTACTACAATTCACTGATTTCCTAGTTCAAGAAGTGACTACTGCAAAGTGTACTAGCATTTCAAAGGGATGCCTCATCTCAGCAGCTGTTTTTTGTGTCCCAGATGTCTATTTGCCCTCTCTGTGAACTGACACACTGTGGTGTGCTAGTTAGTTCCACTTCTACTTCAAAGCTCATAAAATCACCCCACAGTTCTCTCCAGGATGTGAATGTTTATGAAACACCAGTCAGCAACCCTGACTGCAACCAGCAGCACCTATTTTTGAAGCCAGCAGGCTTCACATCCACAGCATCAGAGTCAAATATGAAAACTGAATTAACCTGCATAAGAAGAAGAAGGCAGCGAGTTCTCCTTGCCAGGGAATGCTTCAGCTTTATTTCAGCCATTTTGTCATCTGTGTCACCATAGATGGGCACAAACAAGAAAAATATGTGCCTTATTGCTTAAGGCATTCTGGACAGGCAGGAAGGCTGGTGAAGAATTTGTTTTGGTGACAGCTGGAGGGGCCTAGAGGGCTGTCAGCTCTAATACAGTCAGATTGAGAATTAATTCCCACATGCAAGATGCAGATACAAGCATCAAAATTTGGAACCCATTTAATCAGGGGAGCAGCAGTGTCTGCTCTGGTCAGCAGGGGATGTGTCATTTGCTCTGAAATACACAGGTTCAGGGTTTTCACTTCAGCAAAGTATTCTTGTAGATGCATAACCTGACTGTTTCAAGTTCCTGAGTATTGGAAAATCCTTCTCTTTTACAGAAGAACCGTAACATTTTTTTCTCAAAAAACCCAGAAAGATTGCAAATCAAATTACTTGAACTGCAGGTAGATCATCTTACCTGAAGAGATAAGCAAATTAGGACATATTTTGTTCTTCCTAATACCAGATAGATCTGGAATAAATCCATAGATTTCATCAGAGCTATCTCTTATTTGTACAAGTGTAAACAAAGCAAGAAAAGTCTAGTTAGCTCTTTTCCCATGTAGTGTATACAGAGATTTGCACATTTGATGTGTATGTAATTTGTTCAATCTCTCTTTATGTGTAATGCTCTCACATAAATCAGGAAAATACATCTATGCATTTGTTTTCTTTTTCCTGTTTTAAAGGAAGACTCTGGCAAGTTGAGCTCCAGTTATCATTACTGACATCCCAAATACCATATGAAACTTTCCAGATGCTTTGAGAATTTCAGTTTGGTTTGGAACAAACAACTTATAAAAGCTTCCCTTTCAGGCAATATAAAAAAATAATTATATTACCTGCACTTAGGGTTCTAAAAATTTAAACAACTACTTGTTATATTTTCATAATTGCAGTGTTTCCTAGATACATTGTGTCACAGATACACATCTGTGTAGTCTTTTATTGTATGCATTCAGTCTGTCTTTAAAATCCAGAAGTGGAAAAATAGCACCTCCTGCCTAGCAAAGCTATTATTTTAAGTGTCAAGCATTAGGCTTTTCAAGACAGGTGAACCTATAGTAAGCAAGAACAATTTTATGTGGAAAGTCTGATCCTGAATACAGTCACTCAGATCTCAACTGGTTAGATTTTCAAGATCAGAGAAAAGGCAGACAAAACCCAGCTTTTCACCTGAACTCTACATTTGAGACATCTTTCCTTGAATCAAACTTGCTCTATGCCAAATTTGGATGATTTTAGCTCAAACTGAGGTTCTCCTTGAGAGGCCAGATGAGTGCATGTGTAATCTGAAAAGTTGTAAGGGAGTATATAAGGGGCTCCTCTTGTTCTGCAGAAGAATCACAGAGCAGAAGTTAACCCTACAAGCCTCCTACAAGCCTATCAGTGTACTGGAGTAGACTGATACTGCAGGTCTGAGATGTTCTGAGGAGGGGATAGTTTCACTTCCTTCATACTAATTTTGGCAGATTCTTTAATTTCCTAGGGTAAGTCTGACCAACTTGAAACTATGCCATCCTAACAGATTGGTACAAGCATGAGGACAAGAGACAATGTACAATAGACGTATGAAATGTGCCAAGATATGAAATTGTTTTCTGCCTAAAGCTTCCATACTTCTTACAGATAGGGCAAATGCTCAGGAATTGCAGTAAAATTTGAAAAATTTAAAATAAAAAAAATTAAAAATAGAATGTAACAAAATTAACTTCCACAGCTGCTGGAGGCTTTCCTTGACCTTTACATGTATTTGTGAGCATACTTCTTTGCAGAAATACATTAGGGAAGATACTAAAATGTGCTTTCCTACCTCTTCCATGTCTGACAACAATTTCATTATTGTCTTCATTATTCCATACTCTCACGAATAAGGAAGAGATGCTGATTTTCAATGGCTAAGAAATGCATCACTTTTCATCTATAAAATTAAAATTCAACTTTGTCCTTACTGAGTTGGTCTTTTGAAAGAAATTCATTAGTGCATGACCAATGGAATTAAAAAAAGAAATGCATCTGTGCAGGAACAATTTTGCTCCACAAATAACTCCAGAAAGTCAGATTCCTGTACACTGACATCAGGGCTCTTCATTTGGCTCTTCACCAAATCAAGTTATAAAAAAGAGCATGAAGCATCCCACAAACAGCTACTTCCAGACTGCTGCAAGCAAAACTGTGAACACCAGGCAAGACACAATCCTCACTGCTGCCATGCAAGACACTACTTCTGAAATTCTCCTGCATTTTTCTTTGCCATGCTAGTAAATCATCAGGGTGTTTTTAGCAGTAAACACATCTACTCTGCCTTTAAAAATTACAGTTTTGCACTCTTGCAATAAATTTCACTTAAATATATGCAAAATAAAATATTTACTTTCAACATCATTCTCAAAATGTATTTGATTTGTCTGCTTGGCTTTGAATGTTGTTGTGTTTTTTTCAATAAAAGTGGACCAAGGTAAAATTGAAGACTTCAAGAAATCAGACTCATATAATGAAAAGCAATTTACCATTCTGCCTGGAGAGAGAGGTTTTCAGTGTGTCCTTCCTGCAATGACTTATGGATTAGAAGTATAGAGAATCTTAAGAAAGAGAAAAAGGAAAAATAAAAAAAAAAATAACCAAGTGAAAATTAATATAATAAGGTGTAGGCTGAGAATAGCACATACAGACAAGAAAACAAATGAGTAGTTCTGCCAGGGAGATAACAGAAAATAAAAATAAAGTGGTCCTGGGCCAGGCACTCTGCAAGATAACATGATAAAAGTTATAGTAGAGGAGCTACACAACAGAGCAAGACATGGATGCAAAAATAATAGAGATGAGATCGAAGTACAGATATTGTCAGTCACAGATAGAGCTGAGAAGGACTAGGATCCAGCATAAGTGACAATGCTTGGTTCCCCTGGTTGCTGTTGCAACTCATATCTGAAATCCCCATGACACATATTTCTCCACATCTTAAAATTATTAAAAGCAGATGACATTCCAAGAAAACCATGAATTTTTATAAAATATTTCATTAAAAGAAAAAAAAAAAGATTAAAAAAAAATAAAATGTTATATAAATGTATTACATCAATTCCAAAACCTGCTATGAAATCACATGACTGCCAGTTGGGAAAGAGACAACCTAATGTTTGCACTGAGGGATCCACAGCATGAAGTTCACAATCTCAGGGTCCAGAGGAACTCTCTGGTGATTCAGCATTCAATTACTATAAATGTGTGCACTTCCCACAGCCTGAGCATGTACAGAAATGACTTCCTACTTCTAATGCTACCCTGGGCACTTACCTTGGTTAAGCTAACATTAAAAGTGTACCCGTGCTTACTGCATCCTCTGGGCCTGCTGTTATATTGTGAGTTCATACTGTGTTCAGCTGTTCCCTGCATAAAGACTTAAAAACTTTAAAATGGGCAATCGAAGACCTTGGTTCCTAAAATCTCTGCAGGCTTATCTGCTCAATCCTGGTAACTGTGAGTGCACTCTTTAGCAACAAATAGTCAGTCCTTTTCAATATCCAGCCCTCATCTCAGGTGATGCTCAGGCACAAGTCACCTGAAATAACAGCAGCCCCAGAGCTGAATAAAGTAACTCACATTCTGCTGGGTTGATCCAGAAATTACTTGCTGCTATGCAAATAAGCCAAAGAGGGAGCAAAAAAAGATCAAAGTGAGATTTTGCAAATATGTGGAAAGTCACTTCCTTCAGCCTCTCATACCAAAAGCAGTACTGTTTGCTGAGGGCTGCTCTTGACCTGCCTCCCAAACTCACAGCAATAGGAACATATTGCTATGAGGCTACAGAAACATTGGTCTAATTCAAAACTTTTCAGAAATAAGTCTGTAGTAGTCATGGGGATGAAGATAATGAAAGATAACAATGGTTATGAAGATAAAAAAAGTCATTAACAACCTTGAAAAACATTTCTATCACCCTCTGAATCCCAGGGCTGTGAATAATCCGTGTGGAGTGTGCACATTAATTGCAGGTATAGGGGAAATTACTTGCCTCACAATTGTTATGCAGCATCCCTCTTGAACCAGAGGGCACCAAAACCAGGCACTTGAAACTTAGCACTATACAGCATAATTCAATACAATTTAATAATCAGTCCCTTTCAGCAAAACAGCTACCTGAGCTCCCTGATAGCTAATACTCATGACACATTAATTCCTGTTAAATTGACTTATTTTGGATGACCCCGACTATCTTCCAATACCAGGGGTTTAGAAGGCTTAGACTGATGTTCACCTATCTGAATTATATTTTTCAGTGCCATTTTCTCCAGCCTGCAGAAAAAGGCACTTTTGGTAAGCTTAAAGCAAAACAATACTTCTTAACAAATCTGCTGGGGCTGATTTGTTTAACAGCACTCATTTTAGATGGATGTGCTGAATCTACACACAATTTGTGAGTGATGTGATTTCTGACAGCTATGACTATTAGTGCCCTTGAATTCTTTGGGAACACAAGTCAGGGTAGTAGGTTGATATTACTGAATACAGTGTTTTGAAAATGTGGCTTGCTGCTGAGACATGCACATGAAGGAAGTAATCTACGTGGAATTAAGGAAAAGAAACCCCAGCCTTTTTTTTATGTACACAGAACAGAGAAAAAGGCACTTCAAATTACTTTATTTTCAACAAATTTTCCACATCCCACAAGAGAAAACTGACTCCTTGAGTACAGATCCATCATTTAATCATATTCCAAATCTGTTTCCCATGTACTTGCTTTTACTCTTCTGAGTGCAAAAACTTAGAAGACTGTACTTTGAAAACCTTTGCAAAGGTGAGGTGAGAGGGGGCACTAAGGTGAAAAGATGCTCCCCCACGATATAGCAGTTCATATTGCAGGTTACATTTGCAGAAGCATGGCTTGTAAGGGAAACTATATTCCTTCTCCTCAGCAATGGTGAAATGCATCTGAAGAAGTTTCTAGTGCCTAGTTTTGGTCCCTCACAGCTCCAGAGGAATGTGGAGAAAGCAGAGAGGGTTTCTAAGACATTCAGAAGTCTAGGAGAAAATGGAGAAAGTCTCCAAGACATTCAGAGTTCTAGGGCACATTACCTACCTCTATGGAAGAAGATGACTTCCAGAAATCCTATCCTGCCAACATTCCCTTCAATCTCACATAAGTATAATCCATGATGCTTCTGAATTGCAAGAGGTTCTTGAGAAAATTGGGCAGTGTAGGACAGGGAGGATAGTTTCATTTTTTGATAGATAAACAAGGGCTTATAAAGATGAGAGTGTAATAAATGTTGAGTAGAATCAAAAGACACTTTGAAAAGCATTTGGGATTAAAGCTTTAACCCCTAGGTGTTTAAAAAATGGTACGGAATTCCATAAAGCTTTAACCCCTAGGTGTTTAAAAAATGGTAAGGAATTCTATAAAGTCATAAGTCAAATGCATTCTATGAGCAATAAAAGTGCAAAGGTATCATCAAAAAGCTGGAAATCATCTCAGGGAAAATCAAAATGTACTCCAAGAAATTTAAAGAGAGAGAGAGACGTTCTTTACAAAGATGCACAAAAAATAACACAGCTCTCTTTTGTAAATATGAAAGTTAATGAAGAGTTGAAGTGGGAAATGGAAAGAAGCAGTAGTAGAAAAGAGCGACTTCTTCACAATGTTCGTCTTTGAATTTCTTTTTAATGGAATCTTTGATCAAAATACAAGTAGGTAATTAAAGTGCTCTTTGCTTCACACAGGTCTGAAGATTTCTGACATTTTAGTCAAAATGTTAACTCAAACCCTTCTGGGTGAAAAAGGAAGTTCCTCTGGCCATGTATGCAATGTCTTTCTGAACACTAATTTTAAAGCCAAACTTGCAATTATATTATGTTTATAGGTGCCTATCTACTTCTGGACTAAACAAAGAAGCGAGGGTTGAAGAGATACCACACCTGAACCAAGCACTATGATTTCCACTACATTCCCCTGAGTTTTTAAATCTTTTTAGAAATAATAGAAGGCAACTGTAATTCATGAAGGGAGATAAGTCATAGTACAGAATGATTTGCTGCAGTAAGTATGCTAAAAAAGTTCTTAATACATCTATAAGAGACATGAGCCTTTGACAACACCTGATACCATAGCTGTTGTGGTAGCACATATATTTTACAAAATTTAAGGAGATAAGAGAATCCACAGGTTTGCATCTCCAATTTATATCTGAAGCCAGTAACATTCAGAAAACCCTTCCATTTTTTCCAAATCAGAGAATTTTCATAGATCTAACATAATTTTAAAAATATTTTACTTTTTTATTTTATACTGAATTATGATTAAAAATTTTTAGTAGCACATCTTCAACAGGATTGTTGCAATTTTTTCAAACCAATAGAAAAAATAATTAAAAATATACAAAGTTCAGTGAACATGAAGTTTCCCACTAATTTATCCATTAATAAAAAGTTAGTTATTTTGCTTTGGACAAAGATAATATCTTCAATAATATTAATAATAATATTCACAAGCCAGAAGTTATATAGTTTCACTGTTAGGTTCGCCTGTCATAAAATCATCGCAATATGAAGGAAATCTACATTTTTGGTAATGCAAGTACTTGGTTTTACCTCAATACCTTTTTCATATGTCAACACCCAGAATCTTCTCAGCAGACTCCCAAAACCTCTACAGTCCATTTCTATTCTTTTTAATCAATTCTGATCTAGCCTAAGATGGCAAATGAGCCATTCAAGTACTTTTTCTTATTTTTTTTAAGGAAAATAGTTACTGCTTCTCCTATATGGAACAGAATTGGAACATCCATTTAGTATGACCGGTTTTAATTCTCATTTCCATTCCCTCATCAAGATGTAAAACCATTAGATAATGACATCACAACAATAAATTTAGAAAGAGCTATTAAAAATTTGCCTTCTAACTACCTAAATGAATGTTATGCTAGTCATATCTCCAAAGGTTTATTTAGTTATTCTGTCAAAACAAGAAGATCAACTTGATCTCTTCAAAAACAAGAACACTGTTACAGAAGAGAAAGTTTGGTTGGGAGCACAGTCAACTAATGACTCCTTAAGTAGACCCTGAGCTGGCAAAGTAATAAGAGAAATATCACCATGAGTTGCAAACTCTTACATTTCAGGTAATATGAATTACCTTTGAAAATGTTATCTTGCCATCTAATCTCGAATCTATTGAAATAAGTTTGATTTGTTTGCTGCAGAGTGGAATGCAGCTCTTTTCTGTATCCTAGACCTTTTCAGGATTTCTAGGAAGATGTACAGAGATATTGTAATGAAACAAATAATACACTAAACTGTTCCTTAAACTCTCATAGTAGAAGAAACTAGTACCTGAGTCCACTTATTAAAAACAGCAATTAAATGAGCTCAGGCAGTACTAGTTTTCAAACAGTAAG